CGAAATACATAATGCACTAAAATATAAGGCATGAAGTTGGATTGAGAAAAAAAAATCTACTATGTTACTTTTCTTTGTCCATTTTAAATCATAAAAGGCCAGAATCAATAAACAAAAGCAGTGGCAATGTGAGATTTTACTAGATGCATATTAAAAATCTAAATACTGCATTTTTACCACAATAAAATTTGTACTCAAATGTTTTCATTAAGGTCAATTGTTTAAGATATTGTTTAGCAATTTGCAAACCATACTCTGTCATCATTATATTACTAGCTTATGCCGGTCTGCGTTTTTATTTTAAAATATTTACTCATAAATATCCTATCTTTAAGTCACACCTTTGGGAATTAACAAGTTGGTATTCTTTTTATGTATGATGTATTCAAAAGGCATCTCAATCCTGCCTCAATCAAAACCCTCCCAAACAATAGAAACCTAATAGAAATGCTAGCTTTCAACAGAAATAAGCATATATCCAGAGTCACTTACTAAAACAATAATGTTGAAATCTTGCCTAGGAACAATACTGCATAACAATTAATAAGGTGTTAAAAATGACTGTTATTGGAATAGCTGAACTTTGACATATATCATGTTTCAGCACTTTTAAGAATAAAAAGAATTATTGTTGCAACATGTTTTGACACATTAGATGTCATTACAAAACAACTGGGAGCTTGCAGATGGAACACACAAACAGCACAAGCCTGGGCCATTATTGAGAAGCAGTGAGCCTCAACTGAGAAAAGAGCTGGGTGAAGGCAGGACACAATAAATCATTATCCCTGTTAACCCAACTCCCAAGTATTCATATTCAGAATATAATAATTAGCACCTTATGGGATTTCACACAAATGTTTCAACTAAAAATTCTCTGACTCCAGGTTCTTTCATTCCAATACAAATGCAGTATCTAGCTCTAACCTATTAACTGCTTCTTAAGATACTCTGGCAGTAGTATCTAGTGCAAATATATCTAGTGCAAATATAACCTCGATTTTGCACAGACTGTGCACATGCTAATCAGCCAGGAAAGGAATATTATGGCCTTAGAAATGTCCATTTCCTTCAGTCAGGCACAGTACAGATATGTCTGTGCCATCCAATGGTGGTGCATTTAGAGAGGCCATCTACTCACGTGGCCTTGGTCATCCAGTTCATTGTTGGTGAGCTTCAGCTTGTCGAAGCTTATCACTTGTCTCATCCAAGTCTCCCCCGAGGCAGGTGAGTCTGGATGAATGTACACCCGGGGTGGCACGGGGGAGTCAGCATTACCCGCCACCATCCATTTAGAGCTGTGGTAAACATACCTAGAAGGGAATGACAAGGCTTTCAGTATATGGATTGTTTCTTGGAATTTCCAACTCAGTAGAATCAGACTGTGCACAGCCTTTTTAAGTCTAGAATAATCCTCTTTATAGCCAAAATAAGATTTCAAGCACTTTTCAGAAATCTTCTGAGGCAGCGGTGGGCTACTGACAACTCAGAATAAGTGGTATGTTCAGGGCTTAGTGAAAAATATGCACACTATCACTACCATAAATGCAAGTATCTTAACTCTTATGAATCACACTTATTCACATTATAGACATTCCATCTGTGTCCTAATATTGTCCATTTTTCATCTGGATATTCAATTGACATGAAGAAACTACTAAGTTGTCCAGCTCACCTTTAAGTAAATCTTAAAAATTCTTGACAGTTATATCTTAAAGTGTCCCACTTCCTTTAAGATCACTTTCCATTTCAGGCTCTGTATAGTCTGGTAGGATAGAATTTCCAGGAACTTTTATTTTCATAAGATAAAAAAAGTTTTGTCTATTATCATTTAGAACTATTTTTTCTAATAAATTGATAATGAATTCAGTTTTAATCTTAAAATTTTGTATAATCATAAAACTTTGGCCTTTATTCATTATCTATAATTTTTCTTTTTTGTTCTCTGTAAGAAAATTCTAATAGTTTTCAATGCTGTTTATCAAAATATAAATCAAACTTTGGAAATGATGGCATATTTAATTAATTACTTTTCTAATTAAGATAAAAAACATCCTATTCTATATATGTCTTATATATTGATTTAGTAAGAATAATACATTTAAATAACAATGTTTCAAGTAATAAATAAGATCTTAATATTTAACCCTATATTCAAACGATCATTAATGTTAATTTTAAATAAACTAATTTAAAAACTAAAAATTAATGAATCAATGAAGAAAAGAGTAGAAAATAAAACTATATACTTGGATGTTTTCCTTCCATTTGTATGTTAAAATATGGCATATGTTTAAAGCAATAATTTGCAAATAATCTCAAAAACTCAACTTGTTTAGTATACAAATTTCTTTTTAAAAGAGCATGAAACATTTTCATAACATCTCTGGTAAAGCTCTTTATTTCAACCAGGGTCCCATTTTTCATTCTCTTTTGAGCTTAATATGCCTTCTATTCATTAATTCCTTTTCTCAGGAAAAAATATATAATCACAAAATTAAGAAAATTTTTTAAAAACCTTCCTTTAATTGGCATAGTGTAATCTCAATAAATAAGTTCCTAACTTTGGAACTTATTTTGTGAATATTAATTTTACATTTTAATAAGTGATAATCATTTTTAACTTGACCAAATACCACTCGTTGACATCAGAAAATAATACAAAAAATTTTTTTCTAATAACACTTTAAAAGTAGGAAAATAAAATGGAAATTTTAGAAACTCAAGAAAAAAACCATATTGTGGATCTGAATTGAGTTACTACTAAAATAAGTAAGATAATATACTCTATCAAAACCTTGAAAAAGTATGCATATTGAATAGTTCAAAACTCCATATCCACTAAGAGAATAAATGCTACATGTTACACATTCTTTGTAAAACATTCTAAATACAATACTAAAAACAAATTTCTTCTTGGGAAGCAATGTAAGTGAAAAGAAATTTATGTTTTACAATATTATTTTTAAAATCTGGCATCTTAATACTAATATATATGAAATTTCCTTGCTTTCTCTTAGAGTAAATTAGAATCAGTTAAATAAAATAAACTACCCAAAATATATGGAAAAGATTTGGAGAAATAGGAGACAAAATTACGGGAGAAAGGAATTATTTCTGAGCTCAAAAAACCCAAATTAGAATATGGATTTTAAACCAAGTATATTTAAAGAATGAACTTTAATGCTTCCTAGTTCCTGTCAAGCAGTAGATAATTTGAGCAAAACTTCCTAATGACTTATTTAATCAAAATAATTAACAGAACTTATACACAAAACACAAATAATAAAACTGTCCTTTTTATTATCAATTTTTGTAGTATTACATCTACCTAATTAAAATCTATGTACTTTTGACACCATAAACCTGTTTCAAAAAAGCAAGTCCCTAAATTCTTAAGTGATGAAAGCCAAATCTGTTTAATTAAAAAACTTACTAAATGCTGTTTATTAAAGAAAAAAAAAATCAAAGACAACCAAAATTTCAAATGACATCTTCCAAACACTTAACACTTCCTTTTTTAAATATTAGCATTTTTAACTCTTCAGAAAAACAAAAAGCATTGTCACTGAAAATTGCTGATTTGCTTTCTTGCAGAAGAAAAAGAGCAAAGGTTGGCTTGAAAGTGAAGAATAAGAACATGTATCTTTTCAAAGTTTAGTTGATGTCTAGTTAATTATATTCCTTTTCAAAATCCAAATATTGGAAAGGCTTTTAAAAATATATTATGCTAACTACCAACCAAAAAACAACAGAAAGGTAACAATTAATTACTAGTTTAGAAAGGTCTTAATATCATAATGAATTATGTATTTTATTTTTCTTACTTGGAGAAAACCTTAAATAATTTTCTCAAATTAAATGGAGAAAGCCTGCAAACATTTATGACTTTAAGAGTAACAAGATAAAGGGAATTTATGTGAAGATCCAAAAAATCATGAAAAAGATATAAAGTTTTATTAATATAATGTATATCTATAAACTTACATAACATTTTCTCTCAAAATTCTAACTGAAATGTGAATCTATATAAAACCACATTAAATTTAGCAACACCAAACTGGGAACTGTTAAAAGTCCTTGATACTTGAAGACACAGAAATGTATCTANCTCAATCAAAACCCTCCCAAACAATAGAAACCTAATAGAAATGCTAGCTTTCAACAGAAATAAGCATATATCCAGAGTCACTTACTAAAACAATAATGTTGAAATCTTGCCTAGGAACAATACTGCATAACAATTAATAAGGTGTTAAAAATGACTGTTATTGGAATAGCTGAACTTTGACATATATCATGTTTCAGCACTTTTAAGAATAAAAAGGAGCATATATCCAGAGTCACTTACTAAAACAATAATGTTGAAATCTTGCCTAGGAACAATACTGCATAACAATTAATAAGGTGTTAAAAATGTCTGTTATTGGAATAGCTGAACTTTGACATATATCATGTTTCAGCACTTTTAAGAATAAAAAGAATTATTGTTGCAACATGTTTTGACACATTAGATGTCATTACAAAACAACTGGGAGCTTGCAGATGGAACACACAAACAGCACAAGCCTGGGCCATTATTGAGAAGCAGTGAGCCTCAACTGAGAAAAGAGCTGGGTGAAGGCAGGACACAATAAATCATTATCCCTGTTAACCCAACTCCCAAGTATTCATATTCAGAATATAATAATTAGCACCTTATGGGATTTCACACAAATGTTTCAACTAAAAATTCTCTGACTCCAGGTTCTTTCATTCCAATACAAATGCAGTATCTAGCTCTAACCTATTAACTGCTTCTTAAGATACTCTGGCAGTAGTATCTAGTGCAAATATATCTAGTGCAAATATAACCTCGATTTTGCACAGACTGTGCACATGCTAATCAGCCAGGAAAGGAATATTATGGCCTTAGAAATGTCCATTTCCTTCAGTCAGGCACAGTACAGATATGTCTGTGCCATCCAATGGTGGTGCATTTAGAGAGGCCATCTACTCACGTGGCCTTGGTCATCCAGTTCATTGTTGGTGAGCTTCAGCTTGTCGAAGCTTATCACTTGTCTCATCCAAGTCTCCCCCGAGGCAGGTGAGTCTGGATGAATGTACACCCGGGGTGGCACGGGGGAGTCAGCATTACCCGCCACCATCCATTTAGAGCTGTGGTAAACATACCTAGAAGGGAATGACAAGGCTTTCAGTATATGGATTGTTTCTTGGAATTTCCAACTCAGTAGAATCAGACTGTGCACAGCCTTTTTAAGTCTAGAATAATCTTCTTTATAGCCAAAATAAGATTTCAAGCACTTTTCAGAAATCTTCTGAGGCAGCGGTGGGCTACTGACAACTCAGAATAAGTGGTATGTTCAGGGCTTAGTGAAAAATATGCACACTATCACTACCATAAATGCAAGTATCTTAACTCTTATGAATCACACTTATTCACATTATAGACATTCCATCTGTGTCCTAATATTGTCCATTTTTCATCTGGATATTCAATTGACATGAAGAAACTACTAAGTTGTCCAGCTCACCTTTAAGTAAATCTTAAAAATTCTTGACAGTTATATCTTAAAGTGTCCCACTTCCTTTAAGATCACTTTCCATTTCAGGCTCTGTATAGTCTGGTAGGATAGAATTTCCAGGAACTTTTATTTTCATAAGATAAAAAAAGTTTTGTCTATTATCATTTAGAACTATTTTTTCTAATAAATTGATAATGAATTCAGTTTTAATCTTAAAATTTTGTATAATCATAAAACTTTGGCCTTTATTCATTATCTATAATTTTTCTTTTTTGTTCTCTGTAAGAAAATTCTAATAGTTTTCAATGCTGTTTATCAAAATATAAATCAAACTTTGGAAATGATGGCATATTTAATTAATTACTTTTCTAATTAAGATAAAAAACATCCTATTCTATATATGTCTTATATATTGATTTAGTAAGAATAATACATTTAAATAACAATGTTTCAAGTAATAAATAAGATCTTAATATTTAACCCTATATTCAAACGATCATTAATGTTAATTTTAAATAAACTAATTTAAAAACTAAAAATTAATGAATCAATGAAGAAAAGAGTAGAAAATAAAACTATATACTTGGATGTTTTCCTTCCATTTGTATGTTAAAATATGGCATATGTTTAAAGCAATAATTTGCAAATAATCTCAAAAACTCAACTTGTTTAGTATACAAATTTCTTTTTAAAAGAGCATGAAACATTTTCATAACATCTCTGGTAAAGCTCTTTATTTCAACCAGGGTCCCATTTTTCATTCTCTTTTGAGCTTAATATGCCTTCTATTCATTAATTCCTTTTCTCAGGAAAAAATATATAATCACAAAATTAAGAAAATTTTTTAAAAACCTTCCTTTAATTGGCATAGTGTAATCTCAATAAATAAGTTCCTAACTTTGGAACTTATTTTGTGAATATTAATTTTACATTTTAATAAGTGATAATCATTTTTAACTTGACCAAATACCACTCGTTGACATCAGAAAATAATACAAAAAATTTTTTTCTAATAACACTTTAAAAGTAGGAAAATAAAATGGAAATTTTAGAAACTCAAGAAAAAAACCATATTGTGGATCTGAATTGAGTTACTACTAAAATAAGTAAGATAATATACTCTATCAAAACCTTGAAAAAGTATGCATATTGAATAGTTCAAAACTCCATATCCACTAAGAGAATAAATGCTACATGTTACACATTCTTTGTAAAACATTCTAAATACAATACTAAAAACAAATTTCTTCTTGGGAAGCAATGTAAGTGAAAAGAAATTTATGTTTTACAATATTATTTTTAAAATCTGGCATCTTAATACTAATATATATGAAATTTCCTTGCTTTCTCTTAGAGTAAATTAGAATCAGTTAAATAAAATAAACTACCCAAAATATATGGAAAAGATTTGGAGAAATAGGAGACAAAATTACGGGAGAAAGGAATTATTTCTGAGCTCAAAAAACCCAAATTAGAATATGGATTTTAAACCAAGTATATTTAAAGAATGAACTTTAATGCTTCCTAGTTCCTGTCAAGCAGTAGATAATTTGAGCAAAACTTCCTAATGACTTATTTAATCAAAATAATTAACAGAACTTATACACAAAACACAAATAATAAAACTGTCCTTTTTATTATCAATTTTTGTAGTATTACATCTACCTAATTAAAATCTATGTACTTTTGACACCATAAACCTGTTTCAAAAAAGCAAGTCCCTAAATTCTTAAGTGATGAAAGCCAAATCTGTTTAATTAAAAAACTTACTAAATGCTGTTTATTAAAGAAAAAAAAAATCAAAGACAACCAAAATTTCAAATGACATCTTCCAAACACTTAACACTTCCTTTTTTAAATATTAGCATTTTTAACTCTTCAGAAAAACAAAAAGCATTGTCACTGAAAATTGCTGATTTGCTTTCTTGCAGAAGAAAAAGAGCAAAGGTTGGCTTGAAAGTGAAGAATAAGAACATGTATCTTTTCAAAGTTTAGTTGATGTCTAGTTAATTATATTCCTTTTCAAAATCCAAATATTGGAAAGGCTTTTAAAAATATATTATGCTAACTACCAACCAAAAAACAACAGAAAGGTAACAATTAATTACTAGTTTAGAAAGGTCTTAATATCATAATGAATTATGTATTTTATTTTTCTTACTTGGAGAAAACCTTAATTAATTTTCTCAAATTAAATGGAGAAAGCCTGCAAACATTTATGACTTTAAGAGTAACAAGATAAAGGGAATTTATGTGAAGATCCAAAAAATCATGAAAAAGATATAAAGTTTTATATAATTTTCTCAAATTAAATGGAGAAAGCCTGCAAACATTTATGACTTTAAGAGCAACAAGATAAAGGGAATTTATGTGAAGATCCAAAAAATCATGAAAAAGATATAAAGTTTTATTAATATAATGTATATCTATAAACTTACATAACATTTTCTCTCAAAATTCTAACTGAAATGTGAATCTATATAAAACCACATTAAATTTAGCAACACCAAACTGGGAACTGTTAAAAGTCCTTGATACTTGAAGACACAGAAATGTATCTATTAAAAGCAGAAAATTAAGTTTCCACATTTGCTGTAAAAGAAGGCACCATGTGGGCTGCTGGAATTCATGGGCATTAGATTATGGATCTGGAACTTCTGGAAACAAAGATCACAGTCATCACAGATGAAACAGGCATTAGCCTGCAAAATCCTAGCATTTTCTTATCATCCTGTATCCAATTACTGTACCTGTATCTTTTGTTGTCCACTGGCACAATATCCATGGCAATGTAATATTGCTGGTGAGGATCTAATCCCGAGATCTTCACTCTCATTGCTGGAAACATGCGCCTATTTATAAGGGCGGGGAGAAGGAGGGTTTGGGTTTGGGTTTTGCTTGTGATTAAGGATGTAGAATGAATAAGCAAAGAAACCTCTTGAATTTCTATTTTCAATATGGACAAATTCATATCATTTGCTTTGTAATATAATTTAAGGAGTCAGAACATAGGACATACCAAAACTGCGGTTTTAAAATGTGATTTGTTGCACCCTGTGTAGATGTGTTCCCTGTTTGGAGTAATGAAACTACAAAAAGCACTTTTTTTTAAAACAAAATCAATAAGCGTATTTATTTAATAATACAAGTTATAAAATGTATCAAATGATAGAAATAGAAAATTTCAATTTCTAAAAGTGATAAAATATACTATATGTGAAATTTTAAAAGGGTTATAAAAAAACCACAAGGAGCCAATGTGCCATGCTATAACCAAACAATATGTTCTTTATTGAGACAAGACTTCCTGTCTGCAGCATGGTAAAGGTGAAGTGCAAAAGTTGCTCTAAATTTGAAAGGTATAGTAAAACTTCTTTATTGAAAGCAGAAACTAAACACAATGTATATTTACCAAATTATTCCTTCCCCCACCATACCTTGAAAATGCTTTCTTTTTTAACCACCTTTACTAAAAACTTTCCTAATTAAAATAAATGAAAATCCTCATTGCTCTTGGCTTCCCAGAGATGTATAACGAAGGAGATGCTAAAGTAAATGTACCTATCCTTTGAAAAGGGTACAGCAGCAAAGAATACAACAGCAAATTATTGTATATCGAAAACAAATAATAGCAGTTAGTTTTTTTTTTTAACTTTCATCTAATGATTTATGTCTAGGATCCTTCCAGTTAATCTAATTTTTGCTAATTTAACCTTATAACACAAATTTTAGTACTGTTATTTACCAAATTTTGTTCTGTAACAATAATGCCATTAAAGACCACTTCCAGAGAAAAGAAAGTCCATTATTCCTAACAAGGCATGAGAACAGTTTAATAAGATGACTGTTTTAGTGTTAGTTCAGTGCACCTGTAAGATAAAGAGTAAAGGTCTTTAACTACATCATTTTATAAGACAACTGCTGCTTTGTGTTGTTGAAGACTGAATTTAGATCATTAATAAAAGCTCTGTGAAAATGTAGAAGGTAGCATATGGATTCAATAAAATATGTTTTTGTAATTTCTAATAAGTTTGGATACTTTTATGCTATCCAGGTTTTTACCATGTGTACTCCCTGAAAGCGTTGCGTGTGCTTTTTAAAGTTCCTTTTAAGGAAGCATATTATCAAGAGATTTCACTGCACTAAATGAACTGAAAGCTTTAAAATGCAAATTTTTTTGTCTAATTCAAATTAATATAATCTGGCCGCAAATCCATTTATTTTACTAACCGATGAATGTGCAATTTCCACACTTTGAAAAACCGATATAACTTCCTACAAAACGTTTTTAGTATTCCTCAGCAAATTTAGTCTAGTGTGTTGGATTTCATTTATGAAAAAAAATTAACGACATAACTGTGGATCTACGAACAGGACGATTTTTTAAAATCTGGGTGATTATTCTTGCAGCACTGTATGATTAAATATGTATCCATATCATGAGTAATTCCAGCGACTTTTCATCCTAGCCTAATATCAAAGTAGCACAACACGTCACGTCCTCACATCGCCAGGAAATCTTTTGATAAAGAACCATCCCGGAAGTTTCAAATCTGAAAAATCATAGTTTGCTAAAGAGTAAACTGCGTTTTGAAAACTGAAAAAGGGAGGAAAAAGAAATCGGTTCCCTACCTAGTTCCAGAACTAATAGCTAGAACCTAAATAAATGCCTGGACTGACATAAATATGCCCTCGAATTTACAAATACCCTGCATGGGGAACATCAGCCGCGACGGCTGCAGCGTCGTAGGCGACAGTGACTTTCTCGCCGGCATTCAACAAGAGGGCGGCCAGGCCGTGCCCCTCGCCGACTGCACTCCGTGGTAGGTAGGCAAAGCCAGCTTCAAAAGTGAACCACGGTCCGGGACCTTGTCCTGTCATTCCGAAAATGCTCACCAGAAGCCCCTCCGCCACACTGCAGGCCCTTCTCCTTCCTAACCAAGCGACGGGTGGGGTGAGGCCGGGGCAAGGGGATGGCACGGGGGGCGTCCGCGACAGCTCGCCCTTTACCTGCCCGCCTTGGTGATGATCATCTCCGTGCCGATCTCGTGAAAGCGCTTCCAGAGCTCGGCTCCCTGCAAATCCACCCGCGGGGCCTGCGGCGAGGGCAGCGGGGTCCCGGGCCGGGTTAGGGCGGGCGCGGGGGACCCCTTCGGGGAGCCTCCCGGAGAAGCCAGCGGGGAAGCGCTCGCTAGGAAGGCGTCCTCACAGCCACCTGGACGGCAAAGGGCAGAGAGGGGGAACCGGTCAGGACTCCAGAAGGGAAGCAGGCAGGGAAGACCGAGCCGCCGGCTGGCGGCTGGGGAGAGAGAAAGGACTGGGAGAAAAGGTGAAGTTTGGTGCCATGGGTCCTTCTAAGGAATAGGCCCAGCCATAGACACCCGCTTCGTGCCTGCCGAGGGGCGCTCAGCGCTCGGGTGAGATCTGCCCGGCCCCGAAGCCCCGCGCCGCGTCCACCCCACTCGCCGGGCCTCCGCGGGAACAAGGCCCCAAGAAGAGGTTTCGCGCCGCCGCCAGGGTCTGGAACGTGCGCCCGACGTAGTTTGAGACGCGTTCCCGAGTCCAGAGTCCCTAGTGCAGACCCCAACATAACCCGCGCCCCGAAGCGCACTCAACTAACGCGCCCGGCGCCCTGGCCCCAGGTCCCAACGCCTGGGCTTCCTTCGCTACAGGCGTCTGAGGCATCTTGCCTGGGGTCCTGCGGGAGGCATCTTCTAGAAAACTCTTTAGACCCCGCTCCTGCCAAACTCCCCGGCCGCCCTGCGCTTCTAGGCAAGCAGAGAAGCGGCGAGAAGAGAGCAAAAAGCAAGCCCGTGGTGGCCGTCGGCCTTGGCAGGGGAATCGAGAGGGAAGGAAAGGGAACGGCTCAGCTACCCCCTGGGATACCACGTTTGCACATACACCGCCCTCTTCCTGGTTTGTACAAACGGTTTAGGGCATTCGTTCCGGTTTTGGGGGGGTTATGCCGTCGCTTTCCTCCCGCCGTCGCCCGTCCCTCCACCCCTGTATGCTTTGAAAAGATAGGAAAGAAAAAAGAGCACCCATTGGCTGGAACCCCAAGGGAGGCAAAAGCGGAAAGCAAGGATCTGTACGGCCGGCGCCTCGGACGGCGTGGCTGAGAGCGCGGGTTGCCGAGGGGGCGGCTGCAGCCTGCGAGGAGAGGCTGGAAGCGGCGTTTTAACCGTCTGGAGGGTGACCAGCTTGCGCTGCGAGCCTCGCGCCTGACACCCACGGCCAATGCACTCGTGGCTGTGTTGCATCGGCCACGTAGGGACACGGTGCGCAGGCACATCCACGGACCCGCAGAAGTTTAGGTTCGCGGCGGCCGTGCGGGCCCGAGGGACCTGAGAGGGGACGCACCGGGTAGAAGTTAGGCGGGAAGGGGCCAACTCACCCGCAGCTCGGCGCTCCAGGTCTGCGCAGCTTCGGGCCGGTCCGGACGCCGCCCCAGCCGGCGGCGGGTGCGCAGCGCCTTCGTCTCCCTCGGAGGAGCCCTTTTCGCCGGCGCCGCTGCCTCGGCTGCAGCCTCCGTCGTCCGCGGCCCCGGCCGCTTCTTCCGCGCCCAGCTTTCGCCTCTTCTTCTGAAGCTGTTGCTGCTTCTCCGCGCCGATCAGCGCCTCCACGGAGAAGGCGTGCGCCTTGAGGCTTAGCATGCTGCACGGCGAGCCCCTCCGCTTCTCCGCCATCCCCGCCGCCCCGTGCCCGCCCGCCCCTCTCTCATATACACTCACGCGGGCACACGCACTCACTCGCTCTCCTTCCCCACCCAAAATTGAACAGCTCTCGGGGCCTCCCGCAGGCAGAGATCTGCCCCCTTTCCCCGCGGCGGGCAAAAACAGATTTGGCGTTTCCTCTTTCTCGCTTGTGTTGGGATCCGAGGAACCAGCGTCGCGCCCAAGGGAGGCAAAAGCGGAAAGCAAGGATCTGTACGGCCGGCGCCTCGGACGGCGTGGCTGAGAGCGCGGGTTGCCGAGGGGGCGGCTGCAGCCTGCGAGGAGAGGCTGGAAGCGGCGTTTTAACCGTCTGGAGGGTGACCAGCTTGCGCTGCGAGCCTCGCGCCTGACACCCACGGCCAATGCACTCGTGGCTGTGTTGCATCGGCCACGTAGGGACACGGTGCGCAGGCACATCCACGGACCCGCAGAAGTTTAGGTTCGCGGCGGCCGTGCGGGCCCGAGGGACCTGAGAGGGGACGCACCGNCCGCCGGCGCCGCTGCCTCGGCTGCAGCCTCCGTCGTCCGCGGCCCCGGCCGCTTCTTCCGCGCCCAGCTTTCGCCTCTTCTTCTGAAGCTGTTGCTGCTTCTCCGCGCCGATCAGCGCCTCCACGGAGAAGGCGTGCGCCTTGAGGCTTAGCATGCTGCACGGCGAGCCCCTCCGCTTCTCCGCCATCCCCGCCGCCCCGTGCCCGCCCGCCCCTCTCTCATATACACTCACGCGGGCACACGCACTCACTCGCTCTCCTTCCCCACCCAAAATTGAACAGCTCTCGGGGCCTCCCGCAGGCAGAGATCTGCCCCCTTTCCCCGCGGCGGGCAAAAACAGATTTGGCGTTTCCTCTTTCTCGCTTGTGTTGGGATCCGAGGAACCAGCGTCGCGCCCGCCAAGTTTTCTTCCCTTGGTCTCTCGCGCGCGCTCTCTCACTGATGCACTCCTTCCCTCCCACCCCCTCCACCTCCTGCTGCTCTAGGATCTGCCTCAACTGATGCGCCAGAGAGGACTAACATGGGTAAAAAACACTCTGCGGACACAAATTAGGAATTGTAATTGAAATTTGTTGCCTTGATCTGTCAGCACTTCCAAGTAGGAGAGCGGTGGGAAGAACTTGCTCATTAGTGTCAATAAAGTGGCAGGGGCGGAGCCCGGGGCCCTGTCAATCACCGAGACGACCGGCCAATCAGGAGGCAGTGACTCTGCGAAGCCCGCGCCCACTTCCTTACAAGGTCGCAAAAAACCGGGAGTGAAAGCGCCGCCGTCTGGCTTGGATGTGCCATCCCTACGAGCGCTGAACCCTTTCGATCTCCCCGCCGCCCACAGCCCATTTGAGCCCCTCAGTCTCCAGCTTTCCTCACCAGGGCCTGGAAAGGCGAAGGCTCCTGGCTTTAAACCGAGACGATCACCGAGTTAGAATATCAAGAATCTTTCAAGGAAGCTTAAATTCCCTATCACTTAATGTTGCTACAACTCAGAAAATTTGGGGAGGTGGAGAGAATTCACAACCACCAGGCCTGTCGTTTCTCATTTAAACATTCCTGCGTTTGTTAGCACCCACCTTGCGCCGGCCATGGCACTAGGCTTAAGTCTTACCCCGCGGATTTTTCTTGGGGGAGACAGGTTTAAAAATACTTAAGTCCTTTACATTTAGGATCGTAAAATGTTACATTATCGCTCAGTTCCTCATATGAACTAGCCAGAAAAAGCACGCCCTTTTCGGAGCCTACCTTTTCTTTCAAAGAGTGGTAGTTATTTTAAAACGTAGGTAATGGGATTTTCATTCTGTATGTCTTTAATATGGATTTAACTTTTAACCCCCTTAAAATTTCAAAAAGCGTAATAAGTTTTAAGATGCAGAACTCCACATATTATTTAAAGATTTCTATGCGATGTAACGTAACTTCACATCTGTCTTGCTTTGACAAATTACCACTTTTATCTCAGGCTTTTAAGTAATCGACTGGTTTCTTTAAAACAAATTAAAAAGAAAACTTTTTAATTGAATCACACCAAACATGTATATGTAGTTTGTTTTGCAGTTTCAAGTCGACTTTTTCTTAGGAAAAGTAAAAAATTTTGGTGTAAATAGAGAAAATCTCTTGTAGAATAAAATATGATGCATATTCTTAACTTTTGGTATAAAATAAACGACAAAGGATTGTTTTTGTCTATCCCTCGTTCAATTCAACCTCGGCAACTGTTGGCTCCTCTATTATCTCGACTTCCTTGTAAGCTTTCAGTAGATTCTGGGAGTACTTTCGCCACTGAGATGGATCCTTTTACCGTAGCTCAGGGGAATGCGCGGTTCTGAAGCTGGACTGCACCGCAGTACCGGGAACCTAGCAGGCAGTGCCCAGAAGTATGTGCACGCCGCCCAGCCGGGCCCGGCAGCCTTAGGGTCAAAAACGACACCGTAATATCCTTGTGGAGAGAGAAGGCTTCTTTTAAAAGCTTTAGAAAGAAATTCAACCGGAAGATATATTTGCCTTTGCAAAAGAAAGGTTTTGCGACCGGTTCAGAACTGTCCGGTCCCTGACGGGCCTTTAAGCTTAGTGGTGCCCCAGGCCGGAAATATAGCCTAAAGAAATAAGCTCAAACCCCGTTTTGAAGGTTGGTGGAGGGCGGGCGCGGACGGGATAGAGCGGAGAGGCCGCTTGGAGGGCTTGGGCCAGAGTGGGAGTGGGGTGAGGTGGGGAGTGCAGGGTACGTAGCAGGAGGCTATGCCCGAAGCTCGGCGGGGCGAGGGCGCCTGAAGCCGCTATCCGCCGCCCGCGAGGACAGGGCACCACGGCCCAGGTTCGGGCTCTCGGTGACGCGTGGAAGGAGCGACCCGCTGCTCCTCCGAGCCACCCTTGCAGCGTCGGAGACTCGGAGCACTGCGGCCCAGGGGTGGAGCCCTTGGGCCTACTCGGCCCCGCGGCCAGGGTAGGGAGAGCGATTCGTTCAGAGAAGCTCCCAGGGATACTAAATGCGGTTTCCAGACGCGAAGCCTGCCTTGTCGATGAGTTCTTGTCCCTTTATATGCCCCGCAGCTCGAACTGGTTCACGAAGCAATACACGGGCCTGCAGGGCGCTATCAGAACACACAGTCCCAAGCCCGCCTTTTTTCCTCCGCCACTTCTTTCGCCTTTACCCCTGGCAGCTAGAGGCGCAGTCCTCAGAACAAGTGGACACTCGGGGACATGTGTCCGCCTAGCCGACAAGGTGGAAAGCCCGGCCTCACAGACATCCACGATGTCAGGTAGAACGGAACCGCCGGTCGCCGTCTCGGGCTTGCTTTGAATTGGGCTCAGGCTCCCGGACCCAGCAGGTCCAGCTGGCCCAGTCCCCGCGGGGCAGTGTGTCACAGACCGCATTTCACCACGGCCTTAGTTCCTGGAGAGGGGGCGTCGGGCACAAGAGGGAAAGAAGCCCTGAGTCGGCTGACTGGCGGAGCCGTGGCCTTCAGAGTGATGGCGAAGCCATTGCCCTAGCAAAGCCTTTTCTCAAAAGCGCTGCACTCCCGTGCCAGTACAGAACCAGACCCTTGCGTCTGTCGAATCAAAAGTGCAAAGGAAGCGAAGAGGGTACACGGTGCGTATTCGCTGGAGGAAAGCTTCGGCAACATGCGGCTGCCGTGTGCACGTGTCTGCGCACGTGCGCGCGTATGCACGTGGCCGTGAGTGCATGGGTGCGTGCGCATGTGCACCTGCGCAAGTGTAAATGGGGGGGAGGGAGAGATCTATGTACTGGGGTGTGTGTGTCTCCTGTCACTTTAGAAGAGAAAACGTCTTTTTCTAGTATAAGCTACACTTAAAAAACGATTAAAACTAAAACTGTCAGGCCTCTCTCAGGACCAGCTGGACTCTATTTCAAATAAAAGTCACCCAGGGAAGAACATTATCAGAATGAGTCAGTCTCAGAGGCTTGGAGAGGAGGGAAGGATGGAAGAGTCCTGCGCGTTCATATCGGGACTGTGCACACACTCGTATATAAGTGTATATGTATTATATATGTATATACACTCGTAAATATATGTGTATATACAGTTCGCTATTTCATCTTACCTGACTTGTAAGATACTTGTATTTATAAGCAATTGTTTATTTTTTTTTTTATTCTAAATTTAAAAGCCCTACGTGTCAGGACA